AGCTACCATTTAAGCTTCATTGATTAAATGATGCGTGATTAGGACATGAATGAATTTACTAGTTTACCATCCACAATAGGGGATGTACTTCACCACCAGTGGTTCAGCTGTCCATCTGATTCTTTGTCTTCCAGCAAATAGAAACCTATAAATACAGCTGTGCAGTAAAAATGGCAGTCTGCCACATGTGTATGCCCCTTCAATTGTTTCCAAGAGAAGTAAGGTCCCTGCAGTCTTATGTTCATTCTATGATTTCAGTTGAGATGAAAGGAAATAGAAGAAAATGTGGCATATTCCCCTTTACAGCCTGCACAGCTATTTTTGAAACGCATGATGAATTAACACTTTAACTCTTCTTCAGAACTGATACGCATTACAAATTCATCACAAATGTACTGATCTCTCTGAGGGTCTTTATAAAGATAAATTCACATAAACACAGTATGTAGTACTATGTATCATACTCGACTATTTCCATATAACTCTGCTTTTAATTATCAAAACATTACATGCAGAAGTGGGAAAACACATTATAAATTAATATTAAGTTTATGGAGTTTTTCTGCTATGGAAAGTATCAGGTGGTAAAAGAGATTATGTCTTTACTCTTTGCATAGTCTATACACACATAAAAGAAACATAGAAATAGGCTAATCCAAATAGCTAATCACATAACACACTAGCATTACTGTTAGTTTCCATTTTGTGAGCTTCTTCAGATATAAGAACAAAAACAAAACTGAAAACAATCAGTCAATCAATCATTAAAACAACAACAACAATAAAATTATCACATTATATCACATCACAGAATCACAGAATTTCTAGGTTGGAAGAGACCTCAAGATCATCGAGTCCAACCTCTGACTTAACACTAACAGTCCTCCACTAAACCATATCCCTAAGCTCTACATCTAAACATCTTTTAAAGACCTGAAGGGATGGTGACTCCACCACTTCCCTGGGCAGCTCGTTCCAACGCCTAACAACCCTTTCGGTAAAGAAGTTCTTCCTAACATCCAACCTAAAACTCCCCTGGCGCAACTTAAGCCCATTCCCCCTCGTCCTGTCACCAGGCACGTGGGAGAACAGGCCAACCCCCACCTCGCTACAGCCTCCTTTAAGGTATCTGTAGAGAGCGATAAGGTCGCCCCTGAGCCTCCTCTTCTCCAGGCTGAACAAACCCAGCTCACTCAGCCGCTCCTCGTAGGATTTCTCCTCCAGGCCCCTCACCAGCTTTGTCGCCCTTCTCTGGACCCGCTCAAGAACCTCCATGTCCTTCTTGTAGCGAGGGGCCCAAAACTGAACACAGTACTCAAGGTGCAGCCTCACCAGAGCCGAGTACAGGGGGACGATCACCTCCCTAGCCCTGCTGGTCACACTGCTTCTGATACAAGCCAGGATGTCGTTGGCCTTCTTGGCCACCTGAGCACACTGCTGGCTCATATTCAGCCGACTATCAGCCATCACTCCCAGGTCCTTCTCTGCCTGGCAGCTCTCCAACCACTCATCTCCCAGCCTGTAGCTCTGCTTGGGGTTGTTGCGCCCCAGGTGCAGGACCCGGCACTTGGCCTTGATGAACTTCATACAGTTGGCTTAAACCCATCAGTCTAGCCTATCCAGATCCTCCTGCAGAGCCTTCCTACCCTCAAGCAGATTGACACATGCACCTAACTTGGTGTCATCTGCAAACTTACTGAGGGTGCACTTGATCCCCTCATCTGGATCATCGATAAAGATGTTAAAGAGGACTGGTCCCAGTGCCAAGCCCTGGGGAAGGCCACTAGTGACCGGCCTCCAACTGGATTTGACTCCATTCATCACAACTCTTTGGGCCTGGCTATCCAGCCAGTTTCTAATCCAACGAAGTGTGTGCCAGTCCAAGCCAAGAGCAGCCAGTTTCTTGAGGAGAATGCTGTGGGAGACAGTGTCAAAAGCCTTGCTGAAGTCAAGGTGGACCACATCCACAGCCTTTCCCATGTCCACCCAGCGTGTCACTTTATCATAGAAGGAGATCAGGTTTGTCAAGCAGGACCTGCCTTCCATAAACCCATGCTGACTGGGCCTGATCGCCTGCTTGCCCTTCAAGTGCCGCATGATGACTCCCAAGAGGATCTGCTCCATGAGCTTCCCTGGTACTGAGGTCAAACTGACCAGCCTGTAGTTCCCCGGGTCTGCCCTCCGGCCCTTCTTGTAGATGGGCGTCACGTTTGCTAGCTGCCAGTCAGCTGGGACCTCCCCCGATAGCCAGGACTGTTGATAAATGATGGTAAGCAGCTTGGCCAGCTCCTCTGCCAGTTCTCTCAGTACCCTTGGGTGGATCCCATCCGGCCCCATTGACTTGTGCACATTCAAGTGCCGTACCAGGTCACCAACCTGTTCCTCATGGATAGTGAGGGCCACATCCTGCTCCCCATCCCCTTCCACCAGCTCAGGGTACTGGGTATCCAGAGAACAAGTGGTATTGCCACTAAAGACTGAGGCAAAGAAGGCATTAAGCACCTCCATTTTTTCCTCTTCTCTTGTAACTAAGTTTCCCCCCGCATTCAGTAAAGGATGGAGATTCTCCTTAGTCCTCCTTTTTGTATTGATGTATTTATAAAAACATTTTTTTGTTATCTTTAATGGCAGTAGCCAGATTGAGCTCCAGATGAGCTTTGGCCTTCCTAATTTTGTCCCTGCACAGCCTCACTACATCCTTATAGTCCTCCCTAGTGGCCTGCCCACTTTTCCAAAGATTATAAACCCTCTTTTTTCTCCTAAGATCAAGCCACAATTCTCTGCTCAGCCAGGCTATTCTTCCCCGCCAGCTCATCTTTGGGCACGTGGGGACAGACCATTCCTGTGACATTAAGATTTCCCTCTTGAAGAGCGCCCAGCCTTCCTGGACTCCTCTGCCCTTCAGAACTGCCTCCCAAGGGACTCTACCAACTAGTGTCCTGAGCAGCCCAAAGTCAGCCCACTGGAAGTCCAATACAGAGGTTTTACTAGTTCCCTTCCTGGCCTCGCCAAGAATAGTGAACTCCACCATTTCGTGGTCACTCTGCCCAAGACAACTCCCGACAATCACATCGTCCGCCAGTCCTTCTCTGTTTGTGAAGAGAAGGTCTAGCGGGGCACCACCCCTGGTAGGTTCACTAACTAGCTGTGTCAGGAAGCTATTTTCCACTGTCTCGAGAAACCTCCTAGACTGCTTTCTCTGGGCTGTGTTGTGCTTCCAGGATATGTCAGGGAAGTCCCCCACGAGTACAAGGGCTGAAGATTTCGCAACTTCTGTCAGTTGCCTGTAGAACTCCTCATCCGTCTCCTCATCCTGGTTCGGCGGTCTATAACAGACCCCGACCAGGACACTAGCCTTGTTGTCCCTGCCAATCCTAACCCAAAGGGACTCGACCTTGTCATTCCTAGCCTCCAGTTCTACAACATCAAAAGACTCTCTAATATAGAGAGACACACCACCACCCCTTATGTGCTGCCTGTCCCTTCTGAAGAGCTTATAGCCAGTCATTGTAGCACTCCAGTCATGAGATTGGTCCCACCACATCTCCGTGATGGCAACCAAGTCGTAGCCTGCCCGCTGCATGATGGCTTCCAGCTCCTCCTGTTTGTTACCCATGCTGCGTGCAGTGGTGTAGATGCACTTCAGCTGGGCCTTTGCCTTATCCCCCGGCCTTGCTATCATTCTCCCTGGCACAGCTCCAACAATCCTTGCTTCAGCCCCATCCCCCTTCTTACCTAGTTTAAAGCCTTATCAATGAGCCCTGCCAGCTCCTGGCCCAGGATCTGTTTTCCCCTAAAAGATAGGGACCCGTCTGCAGCCATCAGGCCGGGTGCTGAGTAAAGTGTCCCATGGTCGAAAAAAAACAAGATTTCTGTGTTGGCACCAGCCCCGGAGCCACGTGTTTAACAGGTGGGCTTTCCGTGTCCTCTCTGTATCCCTCCCTGCCACTGTAGGGATGGATGAAAACACCACCTGCACTCCAGGTCCCTCCACTAATCGTCCCAGCCCCCTAAAGTCTCGTTTGATGGCCTTCAGGCTTCTCTCTTCAATGTTGTCACTACCTGTCTGGACTATCAAAAGAGAATAATAATCAGAGGGGCGTACCAGGTTGGGAAGCTTCCTGGCAACGTCCTTGACCCTGACCCCAGGGAGGCAGCAGACTTCCCTACGGGTAGAGTCAGGCCAACAAATAGGGCCCTCTGTTCCCCTAAGAAGAGAGTCTCCCACAACAATAACCCTCCTGTCTTTCTTGGTGGAGGCAGTCCTGAGGCGTGGAGTCGACCTCCTCGCCCTAGGCATCCTCCTGGGAACACTTGCTACCTGTTCCTCAGATACTGGTCTGTCGAGCTCCAGGGCCTCAAACCTGTTTCGTAAGGGCACCTGGGAAGGTGGGGCTGGAAGGGGAGGGCATCACCTGCGATGTCGAGCAGGGACCTGTTGCCATTCCTCCTCAACTCTGCCCGATGGCGACAGGGCATGGGATCCACCCCCATTTGGGGTGTCTCACCTCGATACTTCTCCTTGAGGCCCTGAAGGGAGTTACTCCACAATTCTATCTCCTGCTCACACTCCCTGATGGCCCTCAACTTCTCCATCTCCTCCTTGAGCTCTGCCACCATGCGGACCAGGTCATCCACCTGCTCGCACCTCACGCACGCAGTGTCTCTGCCTCCCGCCGATGGCAGCAGCAGGCTCTGACACTCCCTGCATCCGGTGACCTGAACCGCTGCATTCTTTAACGGGTAGTCGGTCTGGGTGTGTACCGACTTCCTGGAGAGTGCACCGTGCCTGGTGGAGACTATTATCACCTAGCTAACGGCTGTCATTAAGGAGGTGTTTGCATGGGTGGGGGGGAGCGCTCTCCGCCCTTCCTGCTCGCCCTGCCTGAGCAAACTGCCACGCAAACTGCCGCGCCACTCCCTTCTGATGTGCCACGCCCTGTTTGCCCGCCCTGTTAGCCTTGCTCCTGGTCTCTCAAGCTCCCTAGGGGCAGCTTTTCAATGGCCTGGGAGGGGGCGCTGCTGGCTCCACCTATGCCTCGTCAGACTCCCTCACGAGGGCTGCCGGGTCCTGTTGGCTCCCTCAAGTAGGCTCAATGCCAGAAAAATTAGCCCTGCCTGGCACAATCCCCTGCTCCGCTGCAGAACTTGTCTGCCCCGGAGCTGATCGCCTCGGCAAACGGCCCTGTCATTTCACAGCTCTAGCTCTGAACTCTATATGATAATTGTATTGATCTAAAATGACTGTCAACAGGGGAAGGGAATAAGTATTTTGGGATTTGAGCTACCAGCCTTTCTCACACTTGAATCTGTTGGCAAGGCAACTGGATGAAAGTAGGAAAATATTTTTTACGTAAAAAACTCTCATAAGATAGTGACAAATATTTTAAGTACATTAATTTCTTTTTAGTGTTTAGAACCATGTTGAACCTGTAAAGAAAATCATTTGTTTAATAGCCTTCCTCATGCTGCAAAATAGCAGACTAGTACAACTCAAATGACTCCATAATTCTTTTTTAGCCTTCCCAGCACGTGTCTGCTGTGAGATTTAGTTTCCCTTAGTCCTTGGCTACAGGTCTCTCATCAGCAGCTCACAACCTACAAATCAGAAAGGTAAATGGATTGCAAAATGTATACTGTTAAGCAACTGACCCAGACATTTGTATTTTCTTGTTTGTTTGATTGGTTGTTTGGTGTTTTTTTTTTTTGTTTGTTTGTTTTGTTTTGTTTTGTTTTTGTTGTTTGGTTGTTTTAAGAAGCATCTTCTCCTTCCATTTTTGTTGTTTTCAAGCTTTGTGTTGCACAGTTTAGCCCAAAACTTTTGGTGGCTTTTAATAAACACTCAAACAATATAATAGCCTTATTGATTCATGAATCATAGATTTCCTCAATGGTTTTCTTTATGCATATGTATTATCTTAGTGTTTAAAAGAAAAAAAAAAAAAGTCTACAATTGCTAAGAAACAATTACAATATTTTGGGGGATGAATAAGCTAACTTTTATTATTATTATTATTATTATTATTATTATTATTATTATTATTATTATTATTGATTACTATTATTATTTTCATATTTTATGATTTATCCTCTGATGCCTAGAGAATTAACACTTTGGGTTATTTCATTCAAGTTTCTGCACAAGGACCACAAAGCAGATGATTAGACTAAATATGGTATCTCTTTCTCAAGCATTTGACAATCCTGAAAAAAATGTCAAAGAACACTTTTTTGTTCTCTATGTTATATTTCATTCTGAGGACTGATAGTTTTAGTGTTCCTGAAGTGAATGGCTTTTTCATGAGGTTGAAAAGAGACAAATGATCTCTTTAAAAGATTGCTATAAACTCATGGGTGACTTTAGAGATTAAAACAAAATTCTTGAATTGCATGCAGATGCTAGTCTGGAGGGCACAGGGTATACTCTGGGAACTGAACCTACTAATGTGAAAGGGAATGATTTCTGGCATAGAAATCTCAGATTTTCTTGGTTTGACTGTAAACATTATCAAGGAAAAAACATTTAAGAATAATACATACTGTCAGCAATAGTATAAACAGATAGATGGAGATTACAAAAATTCTTTTTTTTTTTTCCCCCCTTACTAAATACTATCAACTTTCTGCTCAGTGTCATAGCTTTCTCACGTTTGCTGTCTCACTGAATTAAACTTTGGGGATTTTGCCTAGTAGGAGCAAGATCAGACAATTTGGAAATAAGATGCCTAAGCTTCACTTAAGAAGTATATAAATTGAATGTTTTTCTTCATTTAGTCTCACTGGTCAGGTAATACAGGGGTATAAATTAAGTGCATCTATGTTGATGTTCCATTAAGCTTAAATTAGGGAACAAGCCAGTCCAATTCACCATAGGGTATGAAAGGTTATGGAACATATCTTTGTAGAAGCTATTTCCGGCCACTCAAAGGACAACAAGATGACTGAGGAAAAAGCAATTTAGATTTATCATGCAAAAATTCCTTTTATAATAAAATGACTTGATCTGTGGTTAAGTGGAAACCAGTGGATATTCTAGATACTAAATTTGTCAAGATTCCCATGATATTCATATATAATCATATGGGTGATATGATAATATGAATATTATAGGGGATAATCATATAGGTGAAATATAGACTACATAAGTGGACAATAATTCTTTTGGCCAGGCCAAAAGAATTGTGATGAGACCAGCTGGGGGCCAGTTAGAAGTGTTGTATCTCAGGGTTTGATTCTAGAACAAATACTGATTAATATCATAGAATCATAGAATCATAGAATATCCCAAGTTAGAAGGGACCCACAAGGATCATCGAGTCCAATTCCTGGCACCACATCTTTGTGAGATATGTTCATCTGATTCGTGTCAGTATGGAACAATGCTAGAGCTGTATGGTATGATGAATGTGACCTTCTGTCTTACATACCCTTGTATAGCCACAAGTCCAAGAAAAACAGAGTGTTTAATGTATATAATTCTTGTATTTTGCAAAGGAATGTTTTAGCATTTTGTGTCAATAGAGAGCTTGAAGGGAAATGTATTTGTAGGCTTTTCCTTTAAGTCTCTGTTTTTTGGGGGGGGTTCAGAATAACTGCTAACTATTATGACTATTGCATGGGACACTATGCAAGTCTCTGATATCTGGCCAGGAGATTAAGGAGACAGGGAGAGCTGAAGAACAACTAAAAGACAAAGCTTACACAAGTCTCTGACATACAGCCAAGTTGGACAAAGGAGAAGGACAAGAGGGAGGAAGACTATGAGCCTTCAGCACAAGAGACCCCCAGAATCCCCCGGAAGGACCACCAGAGACTGATTCCGGAAACTAATTATAATAACCCTGTTTTTTTTTGAAGTAGTAATGAATATGTATTAGCCTAGGAGCATAAAAATCAGCTACTTGATGTAACTGGTGTGTGTCTTGGTGGAGCAGAGACTCCCGGCGCACCCAGAGCTGTTTGCTTACCTCTATTCCTTTAATAAATTGTAAGCTTTGATTATAGTCCTATTTTGAAGACTGAGCCATTTATTACATCTTCATCAGTTACTTGGATGAGGAGACATAATGCACTATCAGTAAGTTTTTGAATGCAGACTGAGAGGAACTGTAAATGCACTGGAGATTTTCATTGATTCACCTATTCAGAGGGACCTAAACAGGCTGGAGAACTGGGCAGAGAGAAATCTCAAGAAATTCATCAAGTGAGCAGAAAATCCAGCCCCTGGGATGTAGCGGGACAGGTTGGAGCTGACAGCCTGAGAACAGTCGCCCATGCTGCACCCTCCCTTCCTTCCCTCCAACTTCTCCCCCCCAAAAAAAATGAAAAAAAAAAAAAGTTAATGCCCAGGGGACACTAGCTTGGATACAAAACAGCACTGTGCTGGACAAACAAAGAAGCCCCTATATCTTGGGTTCCTCAAGCAAATGGGCATCCAGCAGCTCTAGAGAACACTTGCCCACCAACCAGGGCCCGAGAGTTGTACCTGGAGTGCTGTGCCCAGCCAGCTTCTACATACACGACAGACACTCATATTGGAGCAAGTCCCAATGAAGACCACAAGGATTATTGGTGGCTGAGGCACAAAATATCAGAGAAGCTGATAGGTCTATTCAGCCTGGGAACAGACAGCCTTAATCCCTTTGACCTATTGATATCTGTGGATATCTGAAGGCCAAATTGTTCTCAGAGGTGTACAATGAAGGATAAAAAGAGAAGGGATGTAGTTTGTAAACAAGGTAGTCTGACTTGATAGATAGGGTTGGGCTTAAGCAGAATGGCATATGACACTCCAGAGGGGAAAGAGAGTGGGTGTTGGGGCATAGCTTGATATTTCTGAATTATTACTTTTATGCCTGCTGTACTCAAATTTAATTTGACCTGTTTAGTTCTCATTAAACCCATCATTCAGAGCTACTGTCTGTCAAGATAAATAAGTTCATTTTCTGCTTTTCATGTTTTTATATTTTCATAGAACTATTCAGCCTGGAAAAGACCTCCAAGATCATCTAGTGCAACTGTCCCTCTACCGCAAATATCACTTCCTAAACCATGTACCTAACCACCATGCCCAAATTTTCCTTAAACACCCTCAGGATGGTGACTCTTTCACCATGGGCAACCCGTTCCAATACCTGACTACTCTTCCTGAGAAAAAATTTCTTCTAATATCCAACCTAAACCTTCCCTGGTGCAACTTGAGGCCATTCCTTCTTGTCCAATCACTAGTTATCTGCAGGAAGAGGCCAACACCCAGATCCCCACAATTTCCTTTCAGGTAGCTCTAGAGAGCAATGTCTCCCCAGAGCCTCCTTCAACAGACTAAACAACCCCAGTTCCCTCAGATGCTCCTCACAGGACTTGTGTTCCAGACCCTTCACCAGCTTCACCACCTTCCCATCTGGATGCATGGAGTGCCTGAGCCTGTTGCTGCCATCTGAGGGTGGCAGAGACAGTGTGTGTGTGAGGTGTGGGCAGGTGGATGAGCTCAGCTTGGTGGCCAAGCTGAAGGAGGAGGTGGAGAGGTTGAGGGCTATCAGGGAGTCTGAGTGGGAAATAGACTGGTGGAGCAACTCCCTGCCAGGCCTGAAGGAAAGGCACCGGGATGAGACACCCCAAACAGTGGTAGACCTGCTGCTCTGTCAAGCAGAGGGATGGGACCTAGGAGAAATAGGTCTGTGCTTGACGTTGCAAGCAACCCTCCTCCCTACTCTGCCTTCCCAGGTGCCCTTACACAACAGGTCTGAGGCCCTGGAGCTTGAGAGACCGTTAGTTGAGGATGAGGTGAAAAGTCTACCCAGGAGGATGCGTAGTGTGAGGAATTTAACTCCACGCCTCAAGACTGCCTCCGTTAAGAAAGGTGATCATTGTAGGCGACTCACTTCTCAGGGGAACAGAGGGTCCTATTTGTTGGCTTGACCCTAACCATAGGGAAGTCTGCTGCCTCCCTGGGGCCAGGGTCAGGGACATTGCCAGAAAACTTCTGTCCTGGTTTCAATTAGGATAGAGTTAATTTTCCTCCTTGTAGCTGGTAGGGTGCTATGTTTTGGATTAGGATGAGAAGAGTGCTGATAACATGCTGATGTTTTAATTGTTGCAAAACAGTGCTTACACCAAGCCAAGGATGTTTCAACTCCTCCCAGCAGGCAGTCTACAGGTGCAGCAAGAGCTGGGAGGGGACAGACCCAGGACAACTGACCCAAACTGTCCAAAGGGGTATTCCATACCATCTGATGTCATGCTAAACAATATATAGGGGTAACTAGCCAGGGTGGGAGGGCAGGACTGCTCGGATGTAGGCTGGGCATCGGTCAGCGGGTGGTGAGCAATTGCATTGTGCATCACTTGTTTCGTACATAATAATAATAATAATAATAATAATAATAATAATAATAATGTCTTAATAAACTGTCTTTATCTCAACTCACAGGCTTCACTTTCCTGTTTCTCTGTCCCATCCCAGAGAGGGAGGGGGGAGGGTGAGCGAACAGCTGTGTGGTATTTAGCTGGCAGCTGGGTTAAACCACAACAGCTTCCTAACCTGGTTCAACCCTCTGACTATTATCCTCTTTTGATAGTCCAGGATGGCATTGATGATATTGAAGAGAGAAGCCTGAAAGCTATCAAATGAGACTTTAGGGGACTGGGATGATTAATAGATGGAACAGGAGTACAGGTCGTGCTTTCCTCCATCCCTACAGTGGCAGGAAGGGGTACGGAGAGGACCGAGAAAGCCCACCTGATAAACATGTAGCTCAGAGGCTGGTGCCAACACTGAAATTTTGTGCTTTTTTTTTGACCATGGGGCACTTTACTCGACATCCAGCCTGCTAGCTGGCAGGGCTCATTGAGAAGGCTTTAAATTAGGTAGGAAGGGGGATGGGTATGAAGTCAGGCTCATTAGAGGTGTGCCAGGGGGAACAATGTCAGGATCTCAGGAGAAGGCAACGGCCCAGCTGAAGTGCATCTACACTAATACACATGGCATGGGTAACAAACAGGAGGAGCTGGAATACATTGTGCAGCAGGCAGGCTACGACTTGGTTGCCATCAAGGAAACTTGGTGGAACCACTCCCATGACTGGAGTGCTGCAATGACTGGCTATAGGCTCTTCAGAAGGGACAGGCAGCACAGAAGGGGTGGTGGTGTGGCTCTCTGTATTAGAGAGTGTTTTCATGTTGTGGAACTCGAGGCTGAGACTGGGAATGATAATTTTGAGTCCCTAAGGGTTACGATCAGTGGGAAGGCCAACGAGGCAAGCATCCTGGTCGGGGTCTGTTATAGACCGCCAAACCAGGACGAGGAGACGAATGAGGATTTCTACAGGCAGCTGACAGAAGTTGTGAAATCATCGGCGCTTGTACTCGTGGGTGACTTCAACTTCCCTGACATATCCTGGAAGCACAACACAGCCCAGAGAAAGCAGTCTAGGAGGTTTCTGGAGACAGTGGAAGATAGTTTCCTGATGCAGCTGGTTAGTGAGCCTACCAGGGGAGGTGCCCCACTAGACCTTCTTTTCACAAACAGAGAAAGATTGGTGGGAGATGTGGTGGTCGGAAGCTGTCTTGGGCAGAGTGACCATGAAATTGTAGAGTTATCTATTCTCGGTGAAGTCGGGAGGGGGACCAGTAAAAATGCTGTATTGGACTTCCAGAGGGCCAACTTTGAGCTGCTCAGGACACTGGTTGGCAGAGTCCCTTGGGAGGCAGTTGTGAAGGGCAGAGGAATCCAGGAAGGCTGGGTACTCCTCAAGAAGGAAATCTTAATGGCTGAGGAGTGGTCTGTCTCCACATGCCCAAAGAGAAGCCAGCATGGAAGATGACCAGCCTGGCTGAGCAGAGAATTGTGGCTTGAGCTTAGGAGAAAAAAGAGGGTTTATGATCTCTGCAAAAAAAAGCAAACAACTCAGAAGGATTATAAGGATGTTGTAAGTGTGTGTAGAGACAAAATGAATGCCAAAGCTCATCTGGAGCTCAATCTGGCTACTGCTGTAACAGAAAATGATTTTACAAATACATAAACATAAAAAGGAGGACTAAGAAGAACCTCCATCCTTTACTGGATGTGGGGGGAAACTTAGTGACGAGAAAAACTTAGTGATGAGGAAAAGGTGGAGGTGCTTAATGTTTTCTTTGCATCAGCCTTTAGTGGCAAGACCACTTGTTCTCTAGATATCCAGTACCCTGAGCTGGTGGAAGGGGATGGGGAGCAGAATGTGGCCCTCACTATCCATGAGGAAAGGGTTGGTGACCTGCTACGGCACTTGGATGTACACAAGTCGATGGGGCCGGATGGGATCCACCCGAGGATACTGAGAGAACTGGCAGAGGAGCTGGCCAAGCTGCTTACCATCATTTATCAACAGTCCTGGCTTTCAGGGGAGGTCCCAGTCAACTGGCGCCTTGCAAACATGACGCCCATCTACAACAAGGATGGGAGGGTAGACCTGGAAAACTATAGATCTGTCAGTTTGACCTCAGTGCCAGAGAAACTCATGGAGCAAATTATCTTGAGTGTCATCACGTGGCACTTACAGGGCAACCACATGAGCAGGCCCAGTCAGCATGGGTTTATGAAAGGCAGGTCCTGCTTGACGAACCTCATCTCCTTCTATGACAAAGTGACATGCTTGGTGGATGAGGGACAGGCTGTGGATGTGGTCTACCTTGACTTCAGCAAGGCTTTTGACACTGTTTCCCACAACATTCTCCTCAAGAAACTGGCTGCTCTTGGCTTGGACTGGCGTACGCTTTGTTGGATTAGAAACTAGCTGGATAGCCAGGCCCAAAGAGTTGTGGTGAATGGAGTCAAATCCAGTTGAAGGACGGTCACTAGCTCCCCAGGGCTCGGTACTGGGGCTGGTCCTCTTTAATATCTTCATC